GCCACGAGCTCCAATCCAATCCCTCTTCTTGAAGCTTCGAGGTTCGACCCCACTCCTCTCACTCACTCTCTCCCAACGAGAATCTAACAGAAAAAATGGAAAATGAACCAAAGACCTCGAGTTCTGAGCTTACAACATGTATTTATAGAAATCTCGATTCCGTGCGTTGTCACTCTTGCTAATAAGAGTGGCCACGCAGACGCTTATGTGGTTTCTGAAAACTGGAACTATCACTTTCGCTACTAAGAGTAGCAACACAGGAGGTCAAGATGTTGTGCGTAATCACTTTTATGAGTAAAAGTGGTCACACACAACTTGTCAAGTTGAGGGCTCTCTATAACATCCACTTTCAATGATAAAAGTGGTTACGCAGAATACTCTGAAATTTTGCCTTCTCTAGAATGCTCACTTTCGCTAATAAAAGTGGTTACGCCCAGGCTTCACTTCTTCCTTGAGCTCTGAAGTGATCACTTTCATTGACAATAGTGATCACGCCCAGCCTGCATTCCATTGTTCTTATGTTTTGGAGTCCAGAACTGACATTTTTCCTCTTCCATTCCATTGATATTCCATTTTCATGAACCTTGCTCAGATTATTCCTACAAAAACAAGCATAAATTTCACAAATGTTAAGCTAACTACATAATAAAAGAAAACCTTCAATCATTCTATTTTTCTAGTTTTTTTGTTGTTTCTTACATGTTTTCCTTATCAAATGGGTTAGAATTACACTAAAATATGAGTCAAAATATGGATTCATCAAAAACTAAGAGCAAAGAATACAATACACGTCTTGGTTAAACTTATCAAAGAGGAACCTAAGGCATATGGGTTTTCTCATTCAATCCTTTATGTTATTTTTTGGTTTAACTCAACCCGATTTCCTTGTGATTACCAATCATTCATACGAATACTATTAATATCCAATGGTCATGTAATATTAATATTCTTTTCTCTAAATTATGGTCATGCAAGACATCAATTTATGAAAGCTTAAGGAATCTATGAATTTGTTAATTTAATAACGATTAGAAGAGAAAGATTGGTTTGGTCCACATAATTCTTTGTCTCGTTTTACCATATAGATCTAGTAATTAACCGAGGTACAGTTGTCTGATGATATAATTAATTAGGATTAAGAAAGAAGCGCAATAGGATAAAATTTAATCACAAAATGGAAATCAAATTTAGATTCAAGCATCAAAATTCCATAAATTCATGAACAATAGTTCTCATAGCCCTAGCTATGGACTTAGTTACTCATACTAAAGAAAAGAACTAAAATAATCATAAACAAAGTCATAATCAAAAGAAATAGCAAACTAGAGTATAAGATGTGTTCCTGGTCTTCAAGTACGATCGCTTGAAGCTCCAAGTTTCGCCAAGCATGTGCCAAGGATCCCGTGCAAGAGAGATGAGATGAGAAGTATTCTAAAGCCAAAGCTAAGATGTAAAAACGGTGTCCCCAATGGTGCCTCAAGTCTTTCCTTTAATAGAATTTGAAAACCCTAAAAACTCTTCATAGTTGGGCTTCCCACAAATGAGCACGGCCGTACAAGGCCTTAAGCACGACCGTGCATGGGCTCAAAGTACTCCCGTGCTTATTGAATGGGTCTGGGCGTGCTGACTGCTGCAAAGCTCTAATCTTTTATCAATTTAGATCCAGAATGCACCTAAAATCCACTTGCGGTCTCTTTATACCAAACTGGACAATTAATATATAAATTAGTGTAAAACCCAAATAAAATAAAGATCAAATATGAATATATGGACTGTAAAAGAGGACCTAATTACAGACTTATCAGCATGCGTTCCTTGATACACGCAAATTGGATTTAACTTACAGCAGTATTCTTTGCATAAAATTCCTAACTTGCAAGTATACTAAGTAGTTGTAGCAAGTAATAAAATTTGGAAATTGATACGAGTCTAAAGTATCGTCCACAAGGATCTTATTTTCAATTACCAATTCACAATTCAACAATTATTTGAGCCACACAATTCATTTAGAAGATTTGTAAACATGTAAAAGTAAAGGATAAAAACAAACAATTGTACTGTAAAAACAGAATACAAAATTTGTATTAAAAAGGCTTTATGGAAAATAGTTAGGAATCACTTCACGAGATTTTCAATTACAATGTAATAATGTTCTGGACTCTTAACGATTCTAATTAATTGATAATCAATTTCACTTCTTTAATTAAAGGACAATTCCTTACCTCATTGATCCTAATATCTAATTAAATCTTTCTAATTTTTTAAGTGAAATTCAATCAAATATTGCATTAAGTTCTGAAAATTATAGGATTACTAAATTATGATACTTATTCCTAAGATCTCAATAACCTAAGCACATGATTCAGATCTGAGAAATAAACTCAATTTTCATTGATGAAAACTCCTCTAAGTTCAATTGAATGAAGGATTAGTTCACAATTGCATTAAGAACAAAATCACATACTCATTTCAATTAAAATCTTAAGGTCCAGATCCAAAACTACACCACAATATCAAATCTGGATCTATAGATCCCTAACCAAAAAGGTTTATAATAACATTATAATGGAAGAAGGAGAAACAAGAGAAGAAGAAGACAATAAGCAGAAGAACATATTTCAAGACCCAATCTTTACCTTGATTCCTCTAGCAACGAAGTTTGAAAGTCGCTCCCAATCTCTCTCTCTCTCTGACTTCCCTTGGAAGTTAAAACAATTACAAAGTAAAAAATAACAAAAAATGGACAAAAGTTTCAAATCTAAACTTTCAACTTCTATTTATAGTATTTTTCCCGCCTTTTCCACTTCCACACATTAATCTTTGAAGATTATAACATGAAATGTCTTCTAGAAGCTTCTATAACTAAATTAGGAACTCAAATCGTTCAAAGTCGACACTTAGAAGTGATTTTCAAAATTCTGTTACTTTTGCATGGATACTCTAAGTGGTTAGAGTGTTAACACGCATGTGTTTTTTGAGCTTTTGCCTTGCACGTGTTCACTGTGAATGGTTAGAGTGTTAACGCACTTCTGCGTGTGGCTACTCTTAGCGGATAGGGTGTCAACACGCAAGGTTCCTAGGAAAATTAGCCTTGGGCATAGCTACTCTGAATGCTTGGAGTGAACATACGCAAAGTTCTATCATATTTTCTGCTACTAGAGTGTTCACTTTCACTACCTAGAGTTGCTACTCACTTACTCTTCATGAATTTCTTCTTCTGCACAGGAATTAAATCTTTTCAAGTTAAATTGTTCAAAATTAGAATAAAATCTAAAATTCTCAACTATTTACACAATTATGAATATTGATGCAATTTTTATGATTTTTTCAAGTTTATTTAACACTTTACTACTTATTTATCAACAAAAACTATACTAAAAATATAGTAAAATGGGACATTTTAATCATCAAAAATTATCATTACAAATTTTATTTATCCAAATTTAGGAGATTTCATACAAGCACAATTTTTATAATTGAAATTTTTAATCTAACAATTACAACAACAACAATAAACAAGTTTTATCCCATTAGCTGAGGTCCACTATATGGATTATATAATGTCATTGAACTCGATCAAAAAAACAAATTTTTAGAAATCTCATTAATCAATAGATCTCTTTCAATAACTTTGTCTAAGGTTATTTTGACTCTCATTCAACCTTTTTTTACTAGACTATAAGTCATATAATCCCCTCTTCTTATTACTACTTCCAAAGATCTTCTTTACTCATTACCAAACCACCTTAAACGTTTTCAATCATTTTTGTCATTATAGGTATTACTCCAATAATAACATCTCCAATTTTAACCTCTAACGCTTAATTTTTAATATATTTTATACTAAACTTATAGTACATATATTTTGTTTTACTTATACTTAAGTGAAAACACTTGGATTTTAAACTCTCCTTCCATAACTCAAGTTTAACAATAATTTTTTTCATTTCTCAAACTATAACACTATATCGTCCATAAAAAGCATGCATTTATGGATAATCTATACATCTAAGACTAGATCAAACAAATAATGACTCAAAGCAAAGTCTTGATATAATCTTATTCCTATTGTGAAATCCTTAGATACACCTCGAGAAGTTCTCACACACACAATATCCTATGAAAGTAATTAAATAGTGTAAAATTTAGCATAATTTACACAAGTGTAATGTAATTTATCCTTAACCTCATCTATATACAGGACCTGATCTTTTTACACCAATGTAAGTTTAAGAACTCTTACACTCAATTTAAGCTTTTCATTTAACTTACATCTAATGGATTATAATTTATTACTTTACTGGCCATTAAATGTAAGTTAAATGAAAGGTTTAAATTAAGTGTAAAAATTTTTAAACTTACACTGATAAAAAAAAATTCTTTCCCTGTATATATATATATATATATATATATATTATGAAGTCTGAACAAAATATAGACAAGATTTTTTAGATAGCTATAAAAAAAATATGCCCAAACTTGATAGATATAGTTAGCATATTTATTAACTACAGTGGATAAATTAAACCCACCAAATTATCTCGCCTACAGCCAGCCTTGAATCGAATGTAGCAAAATTATGTCGAACGTTTCCTGCTGTGCAGCATATAAAAACGAAAGGTAGATTACTTGTACAAAATCTGTGACATACTGCTCAGTAATATTAAGATTGTTTGATGTATTAACTATCAGATTCTAGTGTAACAAATTCTAAAACAAACATGGAAAGAATTCTAACGAATACACATGTCGAGAGAATCCTAACTTCAAACGGAAACTACTATGCAAAAGACGCGTTAACATCACCCTGTCAAAAACTAAATGTGTTTATCTGCGTTGAATTTTGAGTTTGACACAGGAGGTGAACAGGTTTTCAACATATTCACCATGGTTCCAAACATAGAAAAAAATTATTTAAAGATAACATACATAATTCCCAGGACATAGCCATTGGTTACAAATAAAAAATTAAAACCAAACAATATCAAAAAATATTAAAACCAAACAAATTAGCATAATCTGAGAAACTACAAAACTTACTATTCTATTTAACCACTGAAAATGAGAGTAGATGGATCCCTCTATAACTGGCAAACCACCACCAAAGAGGGTCTCGGAGAACCAAAAAAAAAAAAAAACCTTCAAAACTGGGTTACATCTCAAGGATTTCTTTGGCTGAAAGGAGCCACATGAAAAGGCTGTGGTTAGCATGAGAGACTAATGTGAGCAACACAACTTTGGCCATTTTCCAAGAAACCTTCGAGTTCATATATTTGTTTCTTGAATTTACTTCTTCAGTATGAGCAGTCACTCTTGACGATCTAAAAACAGCATATTATCAACAACTGAACTTCAAGTAGGCTTCTTGCTCTTCTTTGTTTTTGCAATAGCATCATATAATTCTCTTTTTCGTTTGTTGTTCTGGTTTTCATTGCTACCTATGCTTCCTGAATTCTTCTTGCCCTGGACTACTAAAGCCTCCTTAACAAAATATCTTAACCTCCACAAGGTAGCTTCACTCTGCTCAAGGAATAAAATATACTCATTAACACACATGCCTATTACATCAACTTGCGACAAACAACTGTGATTCAATCAAACAAAAACAAACAATCCTCTTTCTCTGTATTTGTCCGCTTTCTTTTTAGTTACTTTATAAACAAAATATATACATAATGACCTGAGCGTCCATGTCAAGATCCACCTCTTCTGCAGTTGCTTGGAAGCCTGGATTGTTTTGAGCAACAATTTGTAATGCTTTGCTTAGATATTCAGGAGACAATCGGGTGAGAGCTTCTCCAAGTTTTCTCTTTTCTTCAGTTGACATTTTTCTGCAACCACCTTTCTCAAATTAGCTCTGTGAAGGGACTATGTAAAGTTATTTCACAAAAGGGAAAAAATTAGTTGTAACAGATAAGGCAATGGCAATGCAAAGGTTAGGGATGATATGAAGGACTAAGTTATTTGAGAAATAAGTTATTTTAACTCTTTGTTCTTTCATTTTAACTCTAACTTTTAAACGTCAATCAAATAAGTTCTTTTCTATTAACGATATTTAACTATTAATTATTCTCTCTTTTTTCATTAATTATTGTCATCTTCATCATCATGTTCTTCGCCTGCTTCCTCGCCCTCCTATTTTATTGATATAGTTAAACATAGTTAAAGGAAGTTGAAAGCGAGAGAAATGAGAAGGCATAAGATGAATTTATGTTTGAATACACATTGGAGAATAATATGATAAAATAAATACATGATCTACAATTATCTAAAATCATGCTAATTACATAGTTACCTTACAAGATTACCTATTACCCAATTTATAGTAATCTAAAAGCTCCTCTTTAAGCTGAAACGTACAAATCATTTGCACCAAGCTTGTTACATTTAACAAATCTGCATCAAAATATCCTACAATTCGAGTGTGTCCTTTTTCTTCACACAAACAAATTATTCCTAGAGATCCCTTGATATATTTTATGATGCAAATTGATAGGACTCTCAATCTCAAATGTATTAAAAAGAAAGAGAAGATATTATCTTGTTTGACACGTGAATTACGCAAGAAGTTTCATCCTACAACAAATACAAAAACAATAAGTCATTTTATCATAACTGTTGTAAAATATTCTGATTTCCTTCCCTATTTTCTCTCTTTCCTTATTTATGTTATCAAGTCTGAAACCTTAATGTGTTTTCTGTGTATTGCATATGACCCAATGGTCTGAATTTATACATATACAAGAGAATCTATATTAATTACATATTATTACCTTAATAAAGGTAATTTTGATATCCTGCTGTAATTACGCTATTTTACTGGCCTAATTACTATAATTACACATCATGCCTAATTACTATATTTACATATCAACAATCATGCCTAATTACTACATTTACATATCAACACTTCCCCTCAAGCTGGGGCATACAAATCATATGTACCAAGCTTGTTACAAATATATTCCACTTGAGGCCTCCTTAAGGATTTTGTAAACAAGTCTGCCAACTGATCATTAGAGCCAACAGAGCTTGTCTTGATTTCTCCTACGAGAATCTTTTCTCTAATAAAATGGCAATCAATTTCTACGTGCTTGGTTCGTTCATGAAAAATCGGATTAGATGTTATGTGTAGTGCTGCCTGATTGTCACAAATTAACTTCATCTTATCGACCTCTCCTACTTTAAGTTGTAGAAGTAATTGTTTTAGCCAGGTAAGTTCACACGTGGTCACAGCCATAGCACGATATTCTGCTTCTGCGCTGGATCTAGCAATAATGTGCTGCTTCTTGCTTTTCCATGAGATTAAGTTCCCCTCAATAAAAATACAGTATCCCGAAGTAGACCGTCTATCTGATGGTGATCCAGCCCAATCAGCATCAGAGTAGCCAACAATAGCAGAATTTCCCTTATTCTGATAAAGTAGCCCTTTGCCTGGTGCATGTTTGATGTACCTGAGAATGCGAACAACAGCATCCCAACGGCTGGTATAGGGAGCGTTTAAGAACTGACTGACTACACTTACGGCAAAGGTCATGTCTGGTCTTGTGATGGTGAGATAGTTGAGTTTACCAACCAAGCGTCGATACCTTTCTGGATCTTTCAAAGGCTCCCCCTGACCCGGAAGGAGCTTGATATTGGGCTCCATAGGGGAATCAGTCGGACATCAGTCAAGCATGCCAGTTTCAGTAAGAATATCAAGGGCGTATTTGCGCTGATTGAGAGAAATCCCATGGCTGGATTGGGCAACTTCAATGCCAAGAAAATATTTGAGAGGACTGAGATCTTTGGTCTGAAAATGTACGGACAAGTGATGTTTAAGGCGCTGGATGCCCATACGATCAATGCCGATGATAACAATATCATCCACATATACCACCAAATAGATACACGTATGTGCGAAAGAGTGGAGAAAGAAAACAGAATGATCAACCTCACATCGAGTCATGTCAAACTGTTGTAAAACAGTACTAAAGCGGCTAAACTAAGCACGTGGGGATTGTTTTAAACCATACAAGGAGCGCCGGAGACGACAAATTAAGGGAGAGGGGCCAGGGGTAGTAAAGCCAGGGGGCTGGTCCATATAAACTTCTTCCTGTAATTCACCGTGGAGAAAGGCATTTTTTATGTCGAGCTGATGTAGGGGCCATTGATGTATGGCAGCAAGAGCGAAGAAGAGACGGACAGAGGCAATCTTGGCTACTGGTGAAAAGGTATCGCCATAGTCGAGTCCAAAGATCTGGGTGTAGCCTTTAGCTACTAATCTGGCCTTTAAGTGGTCAATAGTTCCATCAGGGCCAACCTTAACAGCATAAATCCAACGACAGCCAACGGTGGTCTTGCCTGGGAGAGAGGAACAAGGTCCCATGTACCAGTGGAGTATAAGGTAGCTATCTCATCTCTCATTGCATTTTGCCAGCCAAGATCAGACAATGCCTCAGCTGTAGTCTGTGGGATAGACACAGAATCCAAGGAGGACACAAAACCAGAGTAGAAAGGAGATATACGATTATAATTCAAATGACAAGCATAAATAGGATTAGGATTACGAGAAGACCTAACACCTTTGCACAAAGCAATAGGGAGTTCCTGTGCAAGAGTCGGAGGCAGAGAGGCGGTTGGAGTAGTAGATGAATCGGGAGGAATGTGCTCCAATTGCAGTTGTTCAGGAATTTGGTGAGGCCTTCTATGGTAGGTGAGAAGTGGAGGAGGAGAGAGTATAAGGGCAGGAATAGGTGAAGGAAAAGAAGTAGTACCTGACGAAACGATGTCTAAAGGAGAGGTAGTGTCAGAGGAGGCGGAGAAGAAGAGACAACTTTCGAAGAAACTGACATAGGCAGAGACTAGGTAACGGCGAAGGTCGGGAGAATAGCATCGATAACCTTTCTGAAGATGAGAGTATCCCAAGAAGAGACATTTTAGTGATTTGGCAGTGAGTTTGTCACGTCCTGAAGAAAGGTCATGGACAAAGCAGGTACACCCAAAAATCCGAGGAGGAAGAGAGTAAAGAGGTTGTATAGGAAACAAAATAGAACGAGGTACCTGATTGTTGAGGACAGAAGATGGCATGCGGTTGATTAAAAAACAAGCAGTAAGGACAGCATCTCTCCAGAAACGGAGTGGTACTTTGTAGTGGATGAGGAGAGTGCAGGCTGTTTCAACTAAGTGACGATTTTTTCGTTCAACAACACCATTTTGTTGTGGTATATGGGCACAGGAGGACTGATGCAAAATACCCTAGTCAGACAAGAAAGATTGAAAAGCAGTAGACAAGCATTTGCGAGCATTGTCAGTTCGTAAGATTTTAATTTTACTATTAAATTTGGTTTGTATTTCAGAAGCAAAAGAACGAAAAGCAGAGAAAACATCGGTGAAATAACCAAGTGCAACGAGAAAAATCGTCTATAAAAGTGACAAAATATTGATATCCTAAAGAAGAAGTAATACGACTCGGACCCTAAATATCCGAATGGACTAAATAAAAAGGAGACACAGTTCTGTTATTAACACGACTCGGAAAAGAAGCTCGAATATGTTTGCCTAACTGACAGGACTCGCAGTCTATGGTGGATGCTTTAGGTAAGTGTGGAACCATGATCTGCAGTTTTTGAAGGTTCGGATGACCCAATCGTTGATGAAAAAGAGCAGGGGATTCGATAGTTGAACAAGCAATCGGAGCCGGTGCAGTAAGATAATACAATCCTCGAGATTCATATCCTACTCCAATCGTCTGTCCGGTAGTCCGATCCTGCACAAGAACAGAGTTATTAGTGAAAAGAACTGAATAATTGGACGACCGAGTAAGTTTACTGACAGAAATGAGATCGAAAGGGCAATTTGGAACAAATAATACTAACTCTAAGAAGAGACCTGGGATAGGGGTAGTATTATTAATGCTAGAGACGTTGGTTTGAGAACCATTAGCTAAAGTGACAGGAAGAAGAGAATCGAGATGAGTGAGGTGTGAGAAAAGGAAAACATTATCAGACATGTGATCAGAGGCGCTAGAGTCAAGAACCCAAGGCCCAAGGGATGGAGACTGGGAAATGCAGGTAACAGGAGTACCTATTCGTGCTATAGAGGCAACTGGTGGAGCAGGTTGGGGGTTGGTAGGTAGATCTGATTGTATGGCGGCTTTGTATCGGAGATAGTCCTGGTATTCCAATGTAGGCACAGGAATATGAGAGGGTATGGCAGGGGCTGGAGATAGCATGTGAGCAAGATTCACACTAGGATTCTGGGCTCTGGCCTTGGTGCAACACTAAGCCTCAAAATGGTCAAAACGTTTGCAGTAGGCACAGCGAGGACACAGACGAGAATAGGTGTTACCACGTCCCCTCCCACGATCGCCAGGAAGAAAGGAGTTCAGCAAGAGTGCAGTAGAATTAAGAGGAGATGTGGGAAGTGGGGTTGCCGCAAATGATTGAGGAGTGGACATGCGTAGTAACTGCTCAGAGATAGAATCAAATGATGATACTGTAGGGCTAGAAAGAACCTGATTGCGAACAGAGTCAAGTTCTGGAGGAAGGCCGTGAAGAGCAAGCACCATAAAGAATTCGCTTCGTTATTGGGCATGTTTTTCTGCATCACTAGTAAATGGCATAAGAGCATTAAATTCAACCATTAAGCTGTCAAGGTTACCTAAGTAAGTTTGCATATCCATGTCCTGTTTCTTAATAGCGATAAGATTGGCAATGACTGTATAGAGACGGTGAACTTGATTGGGATAAACTCGTTTGGCTTTATCCCAAACCTCATAGTAGGTTTTAAATGAACGGTACTGTTAGTGCAGTTTGGTATCAATGGAGAACCAGAGAACACTGCAAAGGGA